GAAAAACTATGGAAGACAAGCGAAACCATATGGATTTTGAATTAGTTGATAATGAGGTAAGATATGAAAAATGTGTTAATAATCCAACATTCAAAAACAGATGTATTATAAATGAAAATCTGGTAGGAGTTGAAAAAACTAAAGCAAAACTGAAATTGGATAAACCGATTTTCCTGGGAATGAGCATTTTAGATTTAAGCAAATTACACATGTATCAGTCATACTATGATGTACTGAAAAAGAAGTATAATGAAAACATAAAACTGGTTTATACTGATACTGACAGTTATGTAATTCAAACAATGACTGATGATGTCTATAAGGATTTCAATGATATAAAGCAACACATGGATTTTAGCGACTATCCACCTGAACATCCATGCTTTGACAAAACAAATAAGAAGGTCTTAGGAATGTTTAAGGACGAAGTGAATGGAAAAATCATTACTAAATTCATCGGATTAAAACCTAAATCATATGCCTTCACAATTCACGGTGAGGATGATGAACATAAGAAATCCAAAGGTGTAGTAAAACATAAGGTTAAGAAAGAACTGTCGTATCAGAACTACCACGAGGCATTATTTCAAAACAAAAAGCATGAAATAACATATAATTTTATTCGTAGTCGCAACCATCAATTATGTTCAATGTCTCAAGTAAAGCAAAGTCTGAGTAATTATGAAAATACAAGGTTCTATATTGATGCTTTCACTTCACTGCCTTATGGGCATTATTCCATAAAATAATTATCTAAATAGTTTTAATAATATGAAATTATTAGAATTATTTTCAGTAACAGGTAGTGTTGGAAAGGTAGCTAGAGATTTAGGTTATAGTGTTATTTCCCTTGATTTGAAAAATGCAAATATCAATACTGATATTTTGAGTTGGGATTATAAACAGCTTGGGGTCAATGATTTTGATGTGATTTGGGCATCTCCTCCATGCACCGAATACAGCCGAGCGAAGACGATGGGTGTCCGAAAGATAGATTACGCGAACAGCATCGTTTTGAAAACCCTTGAAATCATTGACTATTTCAAACCCCAATATTGGATACTAGAGAACCCCCAAACTGGCCTTTTGAAAGAACAACCCTTCATGCATGGTTTGAAATATTTTGATGTGGATTACTGCAAATATGGAATGAATTATAGGAAGCGAACGAGGTTGTGGTCAAACATTGAAACATGGGAACCCAGACCATTATGCAAAGGGGATTGTGGGAAGGTTAGGAATGGGAAACATTTAGAAACTGCTCAACGTTTGCCATCAGGGAAAAGGGATGGTTGGGGTGATGGGTTTGTTAAACATAAACAGGAAGAACTATATAAAATCCCTACTGATTTGATTAGTGGTATTTTCGTTTCTCTTGTCTTCTAAGAGTTTCGGGTTTGGGGTTTGGCTTGAAACTGAGACCCTCCGCCCTTGTAGCGCTCTGTATTGTAGTTGCTGACGACCATGACTTCACAACCTCAGATGACCACAAATACTGATAGCATTTTGAGAAAGGTGTTGCGCGGGTGCATTTAAATGATAGCGCACACAAATCCTGCCTTTTTTTGTCCTTCTGTCACGCACTCACACAAGTATATAATGCCATCAACGAGCTGTTCATGAGATGGCAAATTTGCAATGGACACATGTAAGGGTCATCATTGCATACACACACATGAGAAGAACATTCAAGGCTCGTCATCAGAGGTTTCACTTAGCATGCTTGGGGGCACTCTTGTGCCCTCGCTGCTGGTGTCACTCACATCGCTATCAGATTGGGAATTGTAGATATTCTCAATCCTGTCACGCTCGCAGCAAGGGATATTTGCCCACACGAAGCGCGCGAATGTGTTCCTGCCATCCTCACTGTCAAGCATTGGTGTGAAGCCCACTTCATCGCAGAACAAGTCAAGCCACATTGTCCTGTCATCGCTGTTCAAGTAGAGGTTGTAGTAGGGCAACACCATCTCTGCGATGTTGTCAATGTCATAGGCTTCGTCGTCCATATCATGAACAATTACCACATTGTTACCGCGACAGAACTCCATGAATTCAGTAGCGTTGCTCCAAGCAATGTAGCACCCATAATTTGTGAGGATGTGTGGATGTCCCTGAATGAACCCCACCTTGTAGCCACGAGCATGAGGGTCTCGCGCGACATGTGAAGCGATGATACCAAAACCATCTCTGTCATCAAAGAGAGCCATGGCTGGTGATGTGAGACGAGCACTCAAAACTTGTCTGGCAAATGCATACTGTAAAGAACGTCAGTATTGACACACAAGCATTCAGTTGTATACAGCGATACGGACAGCGATTGTCACTTGGCTTCCCGACAGTGAAGTCACCAACGTCACGCCTGTCGCGATGGCGGATGTGGGGAAAAACATGGAAAACAAGGCGAATATCAACAGACACATTGCTATGCAAAAGGCGCATTTTACCGAGGCTTCGTGGTTTGTGAGTATATGGAGCGACTGTCTCATGAGGACTACCCTCACACAAAATGCAACAACCCCACTAATTGCTGTTTGCTTCTCACTCGGGAAATCTGCGGGCGGTACTCGGGAATTTTGCGTGTGGTGCTTGGGAAATCTGCGGGTGGTGCTCGGGAAATCTGCGGGTGGTACTCGGGAAATCTGCGGGTGGTAATCAGGGCTTTGCAAAGAGGGGTTTGTATCCTCATGTGAGACCATTTCAGGACTGCCTACAGTTGGACACAGGCTCTTCCTGTTGGCTACTCTCACTGGACCTTCGCCCTTGACGGATGTTCAACACCTCATTGATGTCAGTGATATACTTCTCCATGTGGTACTGGAGCTTCCCCCCCTTGTTTCTGCTATAATGTTGGGCGAACTGTTCAATCAGCATCTCAGTGAGCTCAATGCGCAAATTGTTCAGGATTGGCACCCCATCTTTGATGATAGCCACCTTGTCGCTTAAGAGTTCAGAGATGCTGGCGATGTTCTCCTCTGATGTTGTTCCGTCTTGAGTGCCCATGACCGACTTCATGGTTCGTAGCTTTGTGTCCTCCACACCATCTAGCAACTCTTTGACGCAGTTGTTTCCAGAGGTACAGCGGTTCTTGAAGACATTGATTTGGGCTCTCACATCGACGACGAAGGTCTGGAAGGGGGCGGGTGCGTTGGTGGGAGCATCCTCATCAACCTTCTCAAGGCGACGGTTGTAGTTTGCCTTGGTCTGCTTCAAGAAGCTTTTCAAGACTTCTTCGGTGATCTTTGGGCGGTTGCCCCCAAACAATGCACCCCCTTTGAGAAGCAATGTGAGGGTCATCTTCAACTTGGTGTCGCCCCACTCCATGCAATCCACAACGTGGAGCTCATTGTCCAAGCGCTCCCCATTAAAGGACAGCTTGAAGGACGAAGCATTCAATGGGCTTTGGGTTCATCTCCATAATCTGGGCAACCACCATGCCCTTGAACACTGCAACCCAGATGCGGGGGTTCTCAAGGGGCACGGTGAAGAGGAAATTGCCATTGGGTTGGTAGAGCAGGACTTTCACAGCGGGCTCGTTGGGCTTGTTAAAGTCAGAGGCATCCTGTAGGTAGCCCTCGGGAAAGGGTACCTCAAACATCTCAGCATAGACATCTACCTCGGAACCGCTCTCGTCGTCGGTTTTCTCTTCCTCCTCTTCCTCCTCTTCCTCCTCTTCCACCTCTTCCTCCTCTTCCTCCTCTTCCTCCTTTTCCTCCACTTCCTCCTCTTCCACCTCTTCCTCCTCTTCCTCCTCTTCCTCCTCTTCCTCCTCTTCCTCCTCTTCCTCCTCTTCCTCCTCTTCCTCCTCTTCCTCCTCTTCCTCCTCTTCCTCCTCTTCCTCCTCTTCCTCCACTGTGTTGCTAGAGATGTGAGTTCCACTTGTCAAGAATTCATTGTGCGTCTGTTGAACAGCGTCTATGATGTCATCCCACCGTTCAATGATGACATCAATGATGACAGCCTTCTTGGTCTGCATGGAACAACGGCAGACATAGCCGGCGTTGGCAAGTCCAACCAAGTCAGACTTCAGCCACTTCTCAATCTGACTTCTGCGAGGACAGAACAACTTGGGGTCCTGCCAAGCGGAAATGTCGGTGTTCATGTCAAAGATTTCGCCAGCTTGAGAGTAGTGCATGCGAACGACGCCATCCCGAACAAAGAAGCAAATAGGAGATGCCATCCTTGGGGCTTTCACTGAGTAGAAAAGGTGCTACATCACCGGATGTTGAACAACATGCTGAAACTCACTCATGTCAGGCTGAAATTGAGAGCACACATGCGCATCTCCTTGACAATAAACAAGCCAGTCGTGCCTTTTTGTAGATGGTGTTGATGAAGCCGTGGCACGGGGTAGAAGCACGACCAAGTTAGTGGGATGAACGAACCCGAAACCAAATGCACCACCAACACCCCAGAACTTGATAACTACTAAAAGGGCCAACTCTTTCAAATGAAAAAAATGTCGGCCCCCAGCCCAACAATGAACAAGGCGACAATTTACCCAAGTGATTACCTTAACGAAAACGATAAATAAGCTCCCTAAAAACCCTCTTTAAAAAACGAATAAGGTGGTTAATAGGTTTGAGATGAATATAAAAAACACAACAGGGGACCATCAACAGACCACCCCCCAGGCCCCCTACTTTTACCATTTTTTAGGGGAGGGGAGGGGAGGGGAGGGGAAGGGGGAGGGTAAGGGAGGGGAAGGGAGGGGAGGGAGGGGAGGGGGAGGGAGGGGAGGGGAGGGGGAGGGGAGGGAGGGGAGGGGAGGGGAGGGAGGGGAGGGAGAGAGAGAGTGAGAGAGAGTTCTACCAAGCTGAGTTGCGTCTGAATCAACGGAAGAAACAAAACAGTAACGAGGCCGTTTGTGCCTTAGCATCTCAGCCTACCAGAAGCTCTTATGTGTCGGAGCAGGGATCCGTCCAGCTTGCTCTGGAAAAGTTGACCTATGGGCATCCAAGCCCACATCGAGGGGAAAAGGTCGCGGAACCCCCAGCACTAGCCTCTTCAAAGCGGTTGAGCGCCACGAGCGTGAAGCCGTAGTCCACATACAGCATCCAAAGGTTGAACCTCGGCGAAGATTGAAAGTGACATGAGACTTGAACCACTCCTTTCGTTTAATGTATCCCTGATCGCGGAACTGCGTTTGGGGCTCAGGGTTAGGTTTTGTGGGATTAGAATGAAAGATTGAAACCGCAGCACACCACCTCAAGCCATGCCCAATTCTTGGAATGGATCCTTCAAGCAAATATCGAAAAAGGGCGGGGCGTCCATGTTCGCCAAATCAATCTTAAAAAAAACGTGGGTGTCCTTGAGGTTTCTCCTTGCGACACGATCCGAACGGGGCCTGTTCGAGCGCGAACCTGACAAATTGGCGTCTTTCAAAATCGTGGACCGATGAAAATGGTTGGCTTCCTGTTGGTGTCAAGGCCCCCCCAATTATTTTCTGAAAAACATTGTTTTTGCCGGAAAATGTGCGCAAAGTCCGCCTTTGATGTCCCTGTGAGAAGATGTTATGACTTTTTTGATAAAAAAAAACATAAAAAAAAAAAAAAAATGCATGGATTCAGCCCAAAACCTTCTCGACCAATTTCCCGAGCGCCCGGGCGCTGAGAAGCCCACACCGTGCCCGCGCCTCACCGCACGGGGCTGTGGCTTAGGCTGGCTATGGGCTTTGGGTGTCCTTTTTTGCCCAGCAAACCGTCCAAAAAGCTTTGCCCGGAGTTGCGCTTCCGGAAACAGCGGAAATCCTCAAAATGAGGGCAGTGAAGTGGCTTCATGGGAGGTCTGATGGTTGCAACCAAAATCCCTCGCCCATTGGCAACAGGTGGCTGTGTGTCAAAACTGGGAAACGTTGTACGGGGGAACAAAACGAGCCATTCTTAGTTACCCTTTTTAAACATTACCCAAAGGGAAAGTCTCTCCGAGTGGCCCCAAAAGGTGATGTTTAAGACTACCCTTTCAGGGAAACCATGGGTGTGTCTTTTCCTGGGGGTGCCTTTCTTGTTGTGGCTTGAATGGAAACCAAAGGGACAACCATCATCTTAGGGCTGCATATAAGGAACTCTCGGTTGGTGAATTGACCGAATTCACCAAAAGGAACTGCGAAACCACAAGCCGAGCTCAGCGCAGAATCTTCTCGAACCGCTCCAGCGCCATCTGGTAGCGCCCAGTCCTGGGCTGACAGGAGCCGCATGCGCTTGTGGCTTCGAAAGGTGCATCCTTTGTCTTCTCAGAAGCATGGCGTGTTTGTGTGTGTGTGTCTCTGTGGAAAGGCATATGTGCAAAATATGTATGCTTGTGTCAGGATTATGATAAGCGAGTTAACCGACATAAAAGACTGGATTGAAAGGCATCACCAGACGTTCCATCGCCATAGTCGTGGTGGCTCCCAAATCGCGAGTGGCAAGTGGCTTGTGTGTATGTGTGGCTTGAAGGTAGTGAGGGTCGCAATGCTGCCCTCCGTGAGAATTAGCCGCCTGGATTTTGTGAGGAAATTGGGTGGACCCAAACTAACGACAGACTGCGACAACTTGTTGGCCCAATCCCAAGGTACACCAAAAATATGCTTTTCAGATTCCCTCCCATTTGCAGTCAAGCGTAAAATAGTATGGGAGAAGATCCCAGGTGAAGTCAGCTTCTCACAAGTTAGCTTGACTGCTTGTCAGATCCCTTGTCAGAATCTAAGCCGCATGGCACCTGAACATCGCCCGACCTGCGAACCCAGCTGTTCCTGGACTCATGTTGCATGGCCTGCCAGGTGCTCGGCCATTTTCGCCGCTGCGACTTACGACTCAAAACCAGGAACCCATGAAGATGATCAATTCCCTGTTTTGCTTGTTCAAACTCATCCCAAAAAGATCCTGGCTTTGACACAGCCCCAATTCCGCTGAGGCTTCTGCATCTTTGGCAGGAGCTTGGCGTGTCACTCTAGTTGTCAACCGATCACATCGCCTTGCAATCACCTGCCAGACAGGATGCATGCTCAACTGCGTAAAGAGTGCGGGCATCTCAGCTGTGAGAAATCCCGTGGATATGTGTTTCATTCGGAACCCTTTGGTGGACATCATTTATAGGCAATCACTCACCAGTTGTGAGTTTGTATTCTGCTCTTAAAATTAAACTCGCTATATGGAAGCAGAGCTTGCCGCATAGCAAAGAGACTAGAGGCAAAGCAAGCCTACAGCGGCATGAAACACGAGGCAGACTGCATCAGAAAATCGACCACAACTTGTGGCATCAATGTGCCTTCTTGCAGATTCAAGCAAGATTTGGCTGTGTACGTCAATGGAAGAACCTCTCTTGCGTTACTTTTAAAGGACAACCCGAAAATAGCCAAGTTGAGCCAAAAGAATAGCCCGTCACTTTTTGCTTGGAATACATTCGAATGCCAACATACCAATATGGCTCGGACATGTGCGTATCTCTCTTGAGGCTCCCATGCGCCTTCGGCGAGCCGCATGGTCCCAGTACTCCGCGCCTTCGAGTCTCTGTGGGGTGCGTAAACCATGCATTTGAGGCTTGGTACTGCTTTTTGTGGGAAACTCCAGGCAAACCAAAGCCATGACCCAAGAGCCAAAAGGACTGGTGGTCCCAATCCAAATCCGGATTTCGCTAACCTAAAATCCTGATCCGCATTTGGCCGGGCATTTTCCAGGCATCTGCTGGGTCATTCTCCCAAAGCGGATGCGCAAGCAGTCAAGCCGCCTGGCAGTGATCTGGGTCGCTACTCAAACTGAGGACCATCAGGTGCAATGTTCACGCGTGTTGCCTCTCTGGGGGTGGGGGTGGGGGCGGGGGGGGGCGGGGGATTTTGGAAAACGCTCATCTAGAATGTCTGATAGATCAAGCGATACAAAACTCCCCAGTGACCCCTTACCCTCCCCCAACAAGCCTTTACAAAAAATGGTCTTCCTCAAAACCCGACCGGTCAGGCTCCATGTTAGTTGGTGGGAGGGTGGCAGGTTACAACAGTAGGCAAAACTGGGGTCAGCTGAAATATCGGCATGATTCTTTACCCGGGGACCCTCTGATGGACACCATTTACAGTAGGTGGGGATTCGTGTCCACCAACCACTTTTGAGGTGGCTCCCTAGTAAATATCATATCGGTTTGGTTGTGACCCACCCAATGGGTTGGAATGTTGGAAGCCAAGAATGTGAGTGAAAGGGGCTGAATGACATATCATTAATATGATTCTTACGACTGGCTCTTAAGGATCCCACCCCATCCCTTGGCTTCCCACACTCCGATTCGATGCGACTCTGCAAACCTCGCCTCGCTGCTGCGCGCCAGGGATTGTCCGCAGCCAGGCTTGGTACTCGCCATGCAGGCTGGAGCTGCTGGCCTCGGGGAAAGCCGAAGGCCTGGGCACGGAAAACGCAGCTCTGCTTGGAGCTTTCCAGTGGTAGGAAACATCCAAAAGGGGAGCAGCCACCACTTATTTGATGATTTGGAGTAGTGGTTGGGGGGGGTTGGGGGGGAGGCTCAACAGAGAACGAGGCCTCAGCGCAAGAAAATGTCTCAGCGCGGGAAAAGATCTTGATTGGTTCGTTCTGGGGGAGCTTTCTGGACAAGGTTTCTCCTTGCATCCACGATCGAACATGTCCAGTCACTGCCCCGATGATGGGCAACTCTCGGTTGTGCCGAACCCCAGACTTGCTGCATGAATGCACTTTCTGAGCCCCAGCAACCCGTGCGCTCGGGTCAGATTGCGAGCCAAGTGGCCCCATCGCGAATAAGCTTGATGTAGCGCTCGGGCGGGTTTGGGTATGTGGCAAGCCTGGCATGTCCGGACTGACAAATCCTTCTTTGGGAAATGAAGGATTCTTGGGTGGATACCTCTGATTTGATTGGGAACCCAGGCTCCCAAACCCCTGGGCCCTTTAGAGGAGATCCTTCACTTTTGCGGGAACCACCCCCGAATCCGCGGGGTTGATTGTGGGTGACGAATCCGCGGTCGACATTCTTGGCGGGGAAAAGTCCGATGGAAACATCTCGTCCAGCTCCAGGCGGTCTCGCAAGCCAGTGTCCCATGCCCCCGACCAGGGTATCACATACCGGCTATACGTTTGCAAAACGGTGGACATGAATCACTGGCAGGCTCGGCCTGGCAGGCCCAATGATGCTGAAAGTCGTTGGATTGATAGCGACGACAGTGTTGCAAGTATCGGTGAAGCGTATGAGTCACAATGAAAACCTGGGATTGAAGGAGTCTACCCGGTCTACGCGAGTTCTTTCAGGACTTCTGCCGGGCATGTTTTCGGTCAGGGTGAATCGACCAACTCGCTGTTTGTACCCCGGCCCATTGCGGGGGGGGTTGTTGAACACCAGTGGGTTGGTCTGAACATGAGACAACCCGCAAAAACGGGTCCTCTCCCTTCAGGCTCCCTTCAAACCGCTTCCAGGCTTTTGAGCCTCTTCTCAACGCGCTAGCCAGCAACCCGCCTGTAGTCCTTGGGAGACACAAAGGCGCGAGCGCGAATGACCCGGCCATCGTAGGCTTCCACCTCAACCTCCGTCGTCACGTATTCGTGCTCCATCTTGGACCTGGGCTAAGCCGGCAAATCCCTCTGAGGGTGCGACCTGTTGTTTCTTCCAAGCTCATTACACATTTCAACCATCTCCAAAAGCAGATCGGAACATAGGGCACCACAAAGAATGCGTGGTTTCTTTAGGGTGTCCCTTCAAACCTTACCCAAAAGAGCCCGGTTGCCAAGCCACAGCTTCTCAAAGTCTGGAGGCTTGAGCAGCAGGAGCAGCCTTATGCACTTGACACAAGTTGATGAAGACACCAACCCACCAAAACTTCAAGGTGGGCCAACCGCCAACCCAACAAACAAACCAAAACATAGAGCAATACCTGACAAGGCGGGGAGAAGAGCGGCAAAAGGCTGCTTCAAACAAAATATGTTTGTCTTCTCTCCTGCAATCATGACTAAGTTGGGTTTAAGAGTGACCCACAACCCCATTCTAAGTAATTCGGCATTTAGGCTTCTGAAGTGTAGAGGCCCTGTCAAAGCCCAAAGGCCTTTCCCCTCGGTCCTTTCCAAGCTGCCCGTGCACCGCCCCCGGATCCTCGCCCTGCGCTGTACACCGCTCCAAAGGCTCGATGTTGCCCATGCCGCCTTTGTGATTGAAGACCTGAGGTCGACGATGCTCCCTTGACCGGGAGCTGAGTGTCGCGTTGTTGGGGGGGGGGGGGAACGCTGCCTCAGTCGGCGGAGTTCCTCGGGCCCGGTTCCGTTTTGTTGCTCAAAATAGGGAACCCTTAAGGATGGTTGGTTTTCCTTTTTTCCCCCTTTAATCTGATTTACAGTCGCGAAAAGGGGGCGTCCTCAACCTGGTGGGTTGCTGCAAATTCCCCTGAAGCCAGGTTGATTCATCTGCAGCCAGCATTACCGTCGCCTTTGGAACCCATCCAGTTTCCCGATTTAGTTGAACCACCCCAGGGTCAGGATTGGCAAAAGCATGGTACCCTTGTTGCGCCCCGACTTCTATGACAGCGAAACAAACACGTCATAATGTGCCAAAACCGACCAGGCCCTAATTTGTTGAAACAGAAAGTTCGTCGTGTGCCCCAAAAGTCGAACTTAATCCCCGCAGAATCCCCAAAGTCCAAAGTTGGAAGTCGGTTCCAAAAGCCAAGGGCGCCCTCGCCCGATTGGGCACCCGGCCAGTCGCCAGCCTGGAAGTTTCCCGGGCACCTGCGCACCCCAAAGATCCCCCCCGGTTGTTTTGGACCTAGTTGTCCTCGTTTGCCGCCGGAAATGCAATAGCCGGGTTCCCATATTTCCTACCAAGAAAAATTATCAGAATTTGCACAGTTCCCCAATGTCTATGCGAGAGCCATGGCGCCTCCAAACGACGCTATCATTATTTACAAATCATTTCGACCCAGGATTAATCAGGGTGGTTCCCCAAGGTGAAAGATCCTGTCTTTGAGGGGACACCCCTGCATTAATCGACCAGGGGGTCTTTAGGAGTGTCTCCCATCTTCCGGGAATTGCACTGCATGCCAATGCACTCCAGACGCCTCAACCTGACCGTCGCACAGACAAAGCCTCCAAATTGGGTTCCCTTAAAAAGAGCAGGGGGGGCGTCCCCAAACAAAGGTGCGTGGCTTGTGCTCCGCCTGCTCCAGCGGGGCGATGCCTCGCTTCGTGCGCAGCTTCCAGGGGCTGAGGTTGGCGCCGAAGGCGAAGTTCCAAACCTTGTCAGATAGGCAAAAGGATTCGTTTTAGGCCATAGTGCTTGAAATATGTCTAAACAAGGGATTCGCCCAACGGCATTTAGGGTTGTATTGTTTGAGGCTGATCCTTTTTTGTTGGAAGGGAACACCGCCCTTCTTCTTGTTTTTTTTTGGGGGGGATCTCTATGCATGATCTCCCTTTAAAGGAGGCCAGAGTCTCAACCAACAGCGCGCCCGGTTCTTTTCGGTGGGCGTTGAAAGGAAAGCCTGCAACAAAAATATGGATTCAGGGGCCAATGCCAGTGGTTGGCGCCAACCCACAACTACGCCGCCCGTGGCATGAATTGAGCCACAGATACCTGGAACTTTGTCGGCTCAAGATGCGGTGGCATTGCTCTATGCACATGCAATTTCTACAATTGTGAAGCTGAAATACTCTCCCACTGACCTGGAACATGACTGGGGTTTTGGAAGACCACTTTCCTCCAAGAGAGATCCTTAGACAATTACAATGTCACGTGTAAGCAGTGCCAAAAAGGCTCTTGACCTTTAGTTTTACCAAGATCAGGTACTAGAACCATGCGAGTTTGTTCTCCCCAACTGCTTGGCCGCCAGTGCATCCAAGAGGCTCCTTTCTTCTCTCGGGAGGACTCTGCCTGCAAGGCTCTTCTTGATGCGTCCTCAAGGAGAACAACCCAATGGTCGCTCTGAACAGCGCCCCGAAATGGGGACCCTCCAAAAGACAGGCGCGCGGAAAAAAGCGCCTGAGAACACCTGCCAAAATGGCTGAAGTGAGCAGGGAGCTATCAGTGTTTACATGATGCTCAGTACACCCGCAGGATGCACTTGCCATTGTTGAAATACGTTGAAGCCATTTTTGCTTAAACAGCCTCCTTTTGGACTCCCTTTAAAGAGAACCAGGGCCTGGCCGTGTACTCAGCTGCGAATGAAAATCCAAAAAGGAGGGGCCAATTCCTCTGAACAGGATGGCCTTTTGGGTCCATGGGAATCTACAGGAGTGTCAAAATTGGCGCAAGGAACGTCGCTTGCCACCCCACCCCACCCAAAAAAAATGCCACACCTTGGCGGCCGGCTTGTCTTCTGCAAAGCTGCCAATCGCAGGAGCCTGGAAGGCCTCCAGCCAAGCGCATCCCAGGAATTCTCTCAATCTGCTTTTCAACCAGCCTGCTTTTTGGGGCCCATGAACCGAAAGTCAAAATGGAGGAGCCCAAAAACCGGTTGGGCCCGGAAGAACGGGAATCACCTCTGAAAAGCTTGCCCTGTTCATAGGAAAAAACGGGCCCTGCCACGTTTGATTTGGCATCCAAGGAACCCAACACTGTATAAGGAGTTTGCTTCTGGTTGTATGATGGCTTTGATTGGAAACCTCTTCTGTACCTCATGTCCACTACTTGTAGGTTCCGTTCGCCAAAAATCAAACCTCTTTGCACGTGGCTGTTTGGGATGTGTTTGGGACGAAGGGAGCTTCCATTTTGGAGCCTTCCGCGCCTGGAAGAGGGGGACTTGGGAGCTGACAAGCGCCTCCCCAGCAATGGCCTGCGCTGGATGCCCGCAACCCCGGTTGGCCGCGCGACAGCGACGGTGTTCTGCGATCTATCGATCTTTGTTCTGCTTATCTCAAGGCAAGGGCTCAGCCATTTGAGCCCCCCAAACCTGGGCTGGCATTCTTGTTCCTTTTGGGGGCTGCGAAACATCGAGCTGACAAGAAATCGATCTGACAGGAAATGAATTGGGGGAAGGGATTCTCTGAGAGGGTGTCTTTTTCGGGAACCCGAAAAGAATTCATCAACCCCAAACACCCGAATCAATTCTAACCGTCTATACCCGAATCGGTCTTACCTCTCCAAACCACAGACCCTAACATGGAACCCACCAGAAGGTGCGCTTTAGTGGTCCAGGGATGCCCTTTGTGAGCAAAATGGGTGAGCGCTTCGGTTTTGGTGGGAAAAAGTGGTGCCTCCTCTCTTGTCCTTCCCAAATCAAGCAGCAAAATCATGTGGCAGTTCGACCGAGCATCCCCCGATGGGCTCTTGTGATCGGATCGCGACAGGCAGCCTCCCCCATGGCCAGGCCGCTGGCAATCGCGCCCTCCACCGACGGTGCCGCCAGCCAATCCCCGCCTCGGAGTGTGGTATCAATTTGTTTCATGAAGACCTAGCATCATTTGACGGATAGACCCGTTAAGAAGGGCCCAGGTTCACCCCCACTGCTTTAGTGGTGGAACCCTTTTGTTACAAATTGGATTCGACCAATGCCAATTCCATGTAAAGAGTCAGAAGGGTGGCCTCACCTATTTATGGCTGGGACTGTTAGCTGCAACTCTTTATCAACCCAGGTTGCTGTTTCGGCCAATTGGAGGTCTCTAACAGCTTAGATGGCCCGGGAGTCAGCTACATTGCTCGTGAACTTTGTTTGTTACAAGGGCTGACAGGAGGTTAACTGAGGGTCAACTGGGCGTCAATCGGAGGGTTGCCAACCAGTTAGCCAACTCCTGGAGCATCCAAGGGGCCCGATTTTACCTTCGAGTGGTAGGCTAAAGAAAAAGAACCCCAGTCGACTTCGATTGCCCCCAAAAGAAGTCAACACATTGGGCCCAGTCCAAAAAGCGCTAGTGGGGCAGGGAAGCGGGGTACGGCCAACATTGTACAGAGTCTGGAACCAAACAGCCCAAAAGCTTCGGAGTCGCAAACCTTGGCGCCCAACAAAAGCGAGCCCATGGATTAGAGATGGATTCTTGATGTTCCGTTGGGACAAATGAACGAGGTCAATGTGCTTTCGTCGAACAATGGGCCACGTCGATTCTGCTTGTTTTGTGGATTTCGCTTTGTCTGAAGATACACAGCAATCAGGGAGAAATGGACAGAGGGTTCCCAGTCACTGAAGTCCGGCTTGAAGCAAGTACTAAAACATCATGGATACCCTTGACCCAGGCTCATGCGAGCAACCTCCTCTTTGGCTTTGCCTGCAAGGGTGGGGGTGTCCATGGCTTTCACTCTCGCGATCATCCAACTTTGAGCAAAACAACCAAGCCGCTGTTCAGAAGTATTGTCATTTCGCACAATAGCTGCGGCGTTTTCACATTCCTGGTGGTTTCCACTGGCACAAGCTCGTGCCTAGGGCGCCGGCAGGCGCCGATATTGGCCTCACAAGCACACACATTTATGGTCCCCAATTGATCACTGGTGGGTTCCATCCGTCAACCCTGGATGAATACACCCCTGGCTGAGGGGTGTTCCTACCCTGCGAGCATTCTATCGGGGCTCGCTGCATTTCCCCTTAAGCATCACCCCACTTAAAGAAAACGGGCCCAAATGGCGACGTTCAAATCTGCCAAGCATTGAAATTTAGGAATCCCTGTCTGGGATGAAATCTACCCCTGCTTTGCCAGTGCTTCCGCTTCAAGCTCGCCTCGGCGTCCAGAAGGAAGCCTTGCTTGCACACGTTCAACGGCACCGCCGCGCCCCAGAGCTGCAAGTGCAGAACTCGACACCTGCGTCGCAGGTCTGTGTGACTTCCTCAAAATGAGCTGCGTAAATCCTCACCAGATAGAATCTCGCCCCGTGCTCCCAACAGGGACACCGATTGTTGACAAAGCGCAAGACACAAATTGTCAGTACACACCAGGAGTTTGGTCCCTCCACACCTGGACAGGCACCAAGGCAACGCAAACAGCAACCCACTTCTATGTTTTGTGCAGGGGCTGCGGATTGGGGTTCCGAGCGCACCGTCGTGCCGCTTCAAGAAAACCCTGTGACTGGTAATTGTGCAGTTCTGCGAGGCTGGGCCAACCCCATACTTATACACACATGTTCAAATTGAACACCCAAGGTTTAAACAATCTGTGTTGAATCCTTTTAAAAGTGGCCAATGCCTAATACTGCGAAAACGACAACGAGTGCTTTGTAGCCCTGATGACACAATGTGTCTGAGATTGTGCCATCCCCATGACTCTTCAAAGCACCACTCTGGTGCTACTGAGGCCTTATTCGCAAAACGGTGCCTCCTTTTTGCCGTATAAGGGTTAGTGCCAAAATGGGAGGATTGCCCAGCTCCACTGGGCAGCTCCCCTCAGCAGCTGATGGGAGTAGGATTGATGCCACTCCCACAGCGAGGGAGGAATCCTCCCACCTCACCGGATGCCCTCCCGGCATCATGGGTGAGGAAGGAAAGTAGCGAAGATCAGTGTGATCAATTCGCTTTCGACTGAGGGGAAGACCCGGTTCTCAGTCGGAAATTGCGGGTCCGGATGAGTAAGTTCATCCGCCCACGTGTTAAAGTCGCGCTTCACATGCGACGGTCCCAACATGACCTGCTGGTCATGCAGCGTTAACACAATTTCCATGAGGATGGCCGCATTGGGCATCCTGCGAGTGGAATCGTTAAGAAGGGAGAAAACATTTCCCTGGTTATCACGAGCAACCAGGATCCTAGTGTGAGAAGCCGAGCCGGCTGCACAAAGCAGAACGGCCCTCACCAAAAGGAGGAGGCCGAAGAGCTCCAAGGCCGCTATCGCCCGCTGCGGGTCCCCAGTAGTGAAGGCCCACGGCTCGCCCTCCGGTGTGATTCTGTGCTGGAACCACTTCACACGGGACTTGTCGGGGTTGGGCACGTCCGAGCACCAACCACCAACCCATGCATGGTCTGCCTGTCTGCCAGCTCCCGCATCAGATGCCCCCGTCCATGGGAGTGTGGGAGCAAACGGAGATGCCAGTGGGAACCTCTGGTTGAAGAGTCTCCCCAAAAGGATGGCCAGAGCACGAACCAGCTTCGGTGGCCTGCCCGAAGTGGTGCAGGCCTTCTTCCAGCTCCAAAAGGGCTGGAGGAAAGGTTTCGTCAATGGGCATGCCGAAGTAGCCCATTGAATACGGCCTAGGGCTTGTTCCACCTCCTTGCTGGTGAAGATGTCCCCCTGGGCCAGCCGTTTAAGAGTGGCCAGGATTATGACGTGTTTGACTGGAGCCAGCAGTACACAGGGCGTGATTGGGTCCACCACAAAGCCCAACCAGGTATTGATCGGGGAGAGCGCCGTCTTTTTCCAGGAAAGCGGGACTCCCAGCGCCAGCAGTGTAGCCAGGATGGCTGTGGCGTCCCAGTCCGCCCGGCTGCATCTGAGGACCCAGCAGTAGTCGTCCACAAAGACTAAGTGCCAGTCCACCTGAGGGAAGATGTAGTACAAGAGTCTGAGCACCAAGGATGCCTTTCTTCCCCAGTACAGTTGTGCCGAGGCCATGCCGTACGTGCCCACTCTGTTGACCCACCACCGGTTTTGGATGCAGGCCACCTGGTATTTCCAGTCTTTCGGGAGCACTTTTATACGCCTGTGGGCCTTGGTGACATCCGCCTTGAGGATGATGAAGGTTTCCCCCTGTGTCGGCGGCTGCCACATCAGGGGTTCCCCCCTGATCCCCCCAGGGCGTTCCGTGCCCGGGGGGTTGGGGGGAAGGGGGCCCTCCTATCAGGGCCCTCGGCACCTGGGAGTGGTCCCTTCCCTGAGGGTGTCGACCCCAGAGAGACGTCCAGGCCGCCGGAGGTATCCATCATCCCCCTGCCCCGATCAGGCCCCTCGGACCTGGGGGGCAGGCTGGTGCTGTGGGGGTCCCTCTCAGGGCCCTCGGCACCTGGGGACTGCCCCTGCACCGGCTGGTGAACATCCCGAGGTCTCTCCTCAGTGCTCGAGAGCGTGGCTCGAAGTAGATGGGGATGGTCCGTCGCTGTCCTGAGCCAGTGGATGGCGTGGAGGCAGTCTCCAACCATCGGTGCAGTGGTCTTCTCCCCCGTATGAGCCTGGATGTGTGCGTTTGCTCCCCCTTTCGAGCCATCGTAGATCGTCCTGATCTTGTCTGACTCATCAATCCCCGCAAGGGGGCCCGGGCAAAGTTCCTCCGGTTTGCAGCGGCACCTCTCTGCCGCCTCCGACCGGGTGAAGGGCCCGTCCACCATGTCCAAGGCTCGTTCCTCGTAAAAGGTTGCCTCGATTTCACTGGCAAAGAGTTCAGCCGTTGGGTAGTTATCATGGGCCACCGGCGGGGGGGGGTCTTCCCCCAGCCAGGCTTCTCCCTTAAGCTCCTCCTTAGTCGGCCAAACTCCGGGGAGGTCAAGGTAGGGTCCGAGACTCCCAAGGGGACCCCCTCTTTCAGTGTCAGGGGGAACTCCCAATCAGGGTCACCTGAAAGGGATGCCAAGTGCGAAACTAGGTCCAGGAGGAAGGGTTGACCTGGGCATCGTTCATGGAGGTGCCTAGGTCCCAGGATAGCCCGCAGCTCATCGAGGTCGGCTTCCTGGAAGGGGTGTGTGGTGGCACCTGATGCCAGGGACATTCGGACCTTGTCAATCCAGGGCCGGGTAAGGGTCATGATCAGGGCGCCCAAAGTAGCCAAAGGGGAAATTCTCCGAAAAGGGGGGTTGAGCCTCCCTGGGGAAGGTTTCCCCCCCCATCCCTCAGGGGGCGTGAGCGGAAACCCAATTGGACAATCGCAACTCGGTCAATGAGGCGTGGGACCCTGAAAGCGGGCAGGCATTCGGGGCGGTCCAGGACCTGGTCCCCATGTTCTTCCTTCCCCAGTTGTTCCGCATCTCCGGCCATCGGGGGCATGGGAGATGGGAAGTCTGGGTTCATTGTTCCACGAGGGCTTACGGTGTCTGCCTCAAGGTGGATGTGCCCGTGCTGGCGGGGCTTCGGGGCATTCTTGCCTCCGGGCTTTGGGCCCTGGTGTGATGAGGAGGGACCGCCTCCCTGATTGGGTCCCCGTTTTCCCCGGGGGGAAGGGCCCTCCGGGGGGTCCGACCCCCGCCCCTTAGGTGGTTCCTTAGGGTTTCCCGGGAAAAGGGGAGGGAATCCGGATGTGCCCCGGCGCTGCGAGTGACACAGCGATGGCTTTGGCCAGGCCTGCCATCATATCCCAAGGGTATCTGCTAAGAGTCGAGGACTCGTTGGTGCCCACATGTGACTGATGCGTGCACCGCATTTGATCCCAATCCTGAATTGGGAGATCCGTGGCTAGCGTAGTGGCCTTCTTGACCAGCTGGCCCAGGCGGCACTGGTCGAAGGAGATTGCTGTCAAGGAGTTTCCTCCATCCAAAGCTGCCCCTCCTCCGTGATCCAGAAGGATGAGCATTCCTTGGCTTTGGGCAGCGAGCTGCTCACCACTGGGTCCTCCGGGTGCTCCAAGAAGGACTTTGGCCCTGGCAGAGAAACCGCCGCTCTTGAGGCCCTTGCCAGGCTGGTGATGTACATCTGCCTCAAAATGAGGATACTGTCATCATCAAGCTGAGTCTGGGCGGCCTGGTCCAGGTGTGGGAGGCCCCAAAGTGTCTCTCGAGTGCGCCCTCGCACCGGGGTGGGGGCCCCCGGGTTTGGTATGTGGCGCAGGATGGACCATGTCCTGCAGTTGGGTCCTCCTCCAATGAAGACCACTCGGCCCTGCTTTGCTGCCGTGCAGAGAGCTCCATATAGCTCGGGTTGGAGCATGTCGTGGTTCCCTTTTGGTCCCGATCGTAGGATGTCTACCGCCACCACCATGCTGGAAAGGTGTGGGTAGTTGGCATGAAGACAGCTGTCCAAGGAAGTTGGGTCTTCCTTGCCTGCATAGAGCAGGACAATAATGGGCCCACTGGATGGAACTTTGGGTGATGTGCCCTGTGTCCATCTCAGCCGCTGTACCAAACGCTCCGGGATGTTCTCCATCCACGGGAAGGTGTCCCATCCCGGCGACGGCTCCGTGGGACTTGTCAGGGGCTGATAAGGCCCGGGGGGGCGAGAGGGGGCGCAAACGCCCCAAGCAGGCACATGAGCCCCCTCCTGCAGGTGCCGAGGGCCCTGACACAGGGGGGGGACAGGCCAGGTGGCGGCCATCCTCGGCGGAACAAGGATGGGGACGGCAGAACCAGCGTGCACAACACCCTCGCTGGGGTCAGAACAACCACACAGCGGGCACAACGGCGGCGCCTCAGCCCCGTGCCACGGGTGCCGAGGGCCCTGAAACGGCAGGGACGGCCAAGAACCCTGACACGGGGGGCCGCGCCCAGCAGGCCCGATTGCCGGATAACTGGCAGCACACCGCAACGCCAAGGATCACGCCCAGGAGGCAGCCGATCCCACTTCCGGCGCCCAACATCATCAAGCAGGACCCGGTGGTTTTTTATAAGAGCTCGGTTGGGCTGAATGAAGGGGGCCAGCGCCTTTCAGCTGGCCCTCGGCACCTGAGGCCTCCCGGGGGGTCGGGGTCAGCGCCCCTAGTCAACCCGGGCAGTCCTGCGGGAGGTGGTCTCCCAGGCAGATGCGGCCCGTTGCCAGGATGAGGTTGCACTTGTGGGTGCGTCCGCAGTTGCCCGGGCAGCGCCCGCGCATCCAGTTGTTACAGAACTGGTTCCCTTTCGGATCGGTGGCCGCCTGCTTGTTACCGCCCCTGGACGCCTGATTGTTCGGCTGGGGGGGCTTACCTTTCCCTTTGCTCCCAGGCTTGCCCCTAGACTTCCCCTTGCCCTTGGACTTGT